AGTTATGAAAAGGACAACAAAATGACATTATTAAATTAATTAAATAAAAATTGCAGTTGCAAGGCACAACTGATTATAGTACGGAGTAATTATATTTGATATTTTCGAATTTTTCCTGTATATTCAAAAGATATACTTTTAAATTTGTTTTAAAGGACCTTAGCGTTCTGTTGTTTAAAATGTTGTTTAAAGTCCCTAAGTGGGGCAGACTTCGGCATTATTTCACCATCGCGATAGCTTTGCCTCTAGATTTAAACACATAGTCTTCATCTCCTCTGCCGAATGAAACGTAAAAATCTAAAAATATTAAAAAAAGAATTGAGGGTAGTTAGATAAAATATTTAATTATCGACGAGGACTTTTTGGCGAGAACGCGAGGAGTGAAGTTGTGTGATTTGTTTTATTTTGTATATTTGGTGTTTGTTCAGGTTTAAATATGTAATAATGGTGGTTTATCCACTGTTTAATATCTGTAAAAGTGCACAAATATGGGAAAATTAAACAAACCCGCTGAACGTAACTTCTCGGGATCCTCCAAAAAGTACACTGAAAAAATCTCAATAAATGACCACCATTTTGCTGTGATTATATTATTATTTCATCCCATATCATTTCATTAAATTTCATCCCAGTTGATTAATGTCTCAAATTAGTCATCTTCATTTCATTTCACTCTATAATATTATCATTTTTCAAAAAAATAAGAATATAAATTAAAATAAGTCACGACCTCAAGGCCTTAGTTATCAGGTCTTAAAATCCCTTAAAAAAACTATCGACGAATGATAGTCGTCCGTGACCATGGAAATTGTAAAGAATTAGAAACGTCGAAAATAATATGACGACAATTGATGAGATTAAACTGTAAAAGAAGCTTTATTTTACTGAATTACACGTGTTGGCGAAACGACCTGCTGCAATGGTTTATTACATAGTTCACAACGCGTATTCGTAGTTAGCACCGGTTAAATCATTATTACAAACCTCTACAAAGTTATTGCCTGTCAACTAGTAATTACATACCTGGTGTTGACATTAATATTGAACGTTTCCAGACTATTAGTTTACTAATTCACTAGTATTTGTTAATATTTTATTGAAAGCGATTGAAGCCACGTTTTAGTCTTGATAATTATTATGATTGAAGTATTTTGATATTAATCAAATATATTTTTAGTAACAATGATGAGTTCAATATTTATGAATATTTTAGTATAAAACGGCGAACATTCTCTATCTCTTTCTTGCTATAATGAAGCTGCAATTAAAGTAAAATAATTTTAGTTATTAAGTAAAGGTTTTTGTAAAAAGAAATCGATCTTGAAAGGTAAAGATGGCTTAAGAACCGATAATGAAGAAAATGACGCTCCAGCGTTTTGAGCGTTATGTAAAGGAGCAAGTGTTTGAGACGAAAGGCCATACTTCTCGACTTACGCTGGTTCTCAACCAGTAATCTGACGTAGAATATGATTTGTGGTCTTTTAGTAATCCACTATCCTTTACGGTGTGAAATAGTAACCTGATCGCCACGGCGATTGAGTCCTTGAACTTAATGTCACATTGAGGCTGTGTCAAATGAAGTTCAATGGTCACATTAAAATCCAAAAAACATCGATATTTTTATACATATCCTTATATGCCACACAGCTTTTACTATAGTTTCATTTTTGCTAATAGTCATTAATAATTTGACATAATATGTCACTAATAATACAATCAGTTGTTTGCATCTAGCATGTTTTTCTCACGTATGTATTTGTTTAACAATAACATGATTATATAATAGAATAAACAATGGATACTTATTGTTATCAAACAATGAGAAACCCTATTTGTCACAATACATGTCTAATTAATGGAATATCGCATTGAATATGTAGCCTAAATAGGTGTTACGAAATAGGGTTTGAATAGTTAATTCTTAGCTATGATAATAAGTATGACGTTCATGTTTTTGTATTAAATTATGATTTTATCTAGCTAATCCGATATTAAATGAGAAATAATTTGTTTTTTATATTGAGAAATAATATTTCTAACCTAATGTACCTAATTAATTCATCTAACATGAACTAAGTAATAGTTCGGACTTTGAGTATCTTTCTTAGAAATAAAGATGTGGTGTCGTGGGACACCAGGTAGGAACGAAGTTCCTTCGGCTAATGTAGAATCGACACAATTTGCAAAAAAAAAATCGTGCTCAATTTTATGTTGGTTTTCTTGATGTTTCTCTTAAATTTTGCTGATTAGTTTTTATTTAAGTACAGGAAAGTATTTAGGAAATTCAGTATTTTAGGAAATAATAAATTACTTAAAATATTATAAATATATAAATAAAATATTTTTTCTTACGGTTTTACTATCACATTTTTTTCAGTTCGGTCGCGCAGTAAAATCCCTATCCCCTCCAAGCCTGCCGTAAGGAACTTCGTTCCAAAAAAAATCACACTATGATTTCCATCAAAGAAGCATTGTAACCAACATTAACGAGCGCACTGTCTTTTTGGTCACCGATCTTCACTTAACAATAAATCTCTATCACATTGGGATTTTTGGCGGGAACGCGAGGAGTGAAGTGATGTGATTTGTTTATTTTGTCTATTTAGTGTTTCTTCAGGTTTAAATGTGTAATAACGGTGGTTTATTAACTGTTTAGTATCTGTGAAAGTGCACAAATGTGGGAAAATGAAACGAAACCCCTGAACGTAACTTCTCGGGGGATCTTCCAAAAATTCCACTGAAAAAGTCTCAGTAAATGACCACTATTTTACTGGGATTATACTTCATACCACATCATCTCATCTCATTTAATTTCATTTCGTTTTCATTACATTTCATGCCATGTTTCATATAAAAAAAATTATAATTAAAATTAAAATAAGACTTGACCTAAAGGTCTCAGTTACCAGGTCATAAAATCCTTTAAAAAAATCTATCACATTGATAGAAGCTGATCTACGCTTCAAACAAGAACGGAAACAAGGTGGTTCTCGCTGCATGATGCAAAATAGCCGTGGTGCGGCTGAGATTAGACAGGCAGTGCTCTAAGCTGAGCGAGTGAAATCTGGAAGGTTATTCGTAGAAAACGTTAGCTTGTGGACAAACAGCAAAGAGGTCGTGATTCAATAAGCGGTGTATGTCAGTGCTAGAAGTAAAAATAACCAGCGCGATGTTTTAATATTTTTGTCTCATTAATTAAGTAAAAGGAATCTAGCTCATACAGCCAATATTGTTAGGTCAATGCCGCTATTGCATTAGCGTCAGAGATTTGCCCAGTTTGTGCTGAATTTAATTAGATTCCTCCTCCTCCTTGCATAGTGTGCCTCAGTGACCGACCCGAAGGTCGTAACCTTTACGGAGCACTTTTGTTCGGACTGTGTTCCTCCATTCTTTCCGGTCCTCTGCGCAGTGGATAACGACATTGATAATGGAGTCTAATGTCGTTTTAATTTGATAAGTCCAGCGTATGGGACTACGCCTCGTTGGCCTCTACCCTTCCACTTCCTTAATTAGATTCAAAAAGGCCCAAACCTTCAATTATTAATATAAGAATAAATAGCAGTCTACATTTATCTCTGATTTATCATGTGAGCTCAAAATAACGGTTTCATAATTTTTATACATAAGTACACATAATATTCCAACCAATTATAAATAAAAAGATGTCACTACGTCCACTGTGAATAATTTAATTAGAACATAGACATTGATCTGAACATTAATTCCGGTCTTTTTGCGAGTTCATCGCGGCGACAACCAAACAAATGGACTAAGGTAATCCAAATTAGACCGACTGACTAATAAATTACACAATCAATTTGTATCACCCCGGAGATATACAGTCATTTTGACTGATACGGTTTTGTTGGCGACAATGAATTTCGCTTAATTTCTAACTTCATATCACCTTAATTTACGTTTGTCATGTAAAGTGTACTAAATTTTCGGCATCTTATTGACGTAATCAAGTTGAACATTTTATTAAAAATAGTAATGATTCGAAAATTCTAAAAGTCTTTACTAGTGGTAGGACGTCTTGCGATTGCGTCTGCACAGGTAGGTACCACCACCCCGCCTATTTCTGCCGTGAAGCAGTAATGCGTTTCGGCCTGAAGGGTGGGGCAGCCGTTGTTAAAAGTGAAACCTTAGAACTCATGTCTCAAGGTGGGTGGCAACATTTAAGTTGTAAATGTCTATGGGCTCCGGTAACCACTTAACATCAGGCGATCGGTCGCCAGTTATCACGAAAACTGTAAAGTATACGAAATGTAAAAGTTGTTTTAATATTTTTTTAAGACTCGACAAACTTAAGGAATACAAATAAAAAAAGTTAAAATATTTTTAAACATTTAAATAAATAAAAAATGTATGCAAATACAACATTGTGGCCGTTAATGCGCTCATTAAACTAGGAATTTACGAATATAACGCAAAAGCAAGCAAAAGAAAGCAATTTATACTTCGTGTAACACAACACAGTCCCCTCGGAAGAAAGAACAATTTCTCATCTAAAAAATTCAACAGCCCGAGGCGAATTATAGGTACTTTAACAAACGACAAAATATGTGTTTGAATGCTTTTTATGTGAATTGCACACTTTTTTTTCCGATAAATTGGATTTATCGATAACTAATTAGAAAACAAATCGATAATTGTGAAACAAGAGTCTACGAAGTCTTCTTGAAAGAATTCTAAATTCATAAACTTTAATACGTAGTATATACACACGTATATAAAGTGTAGTAATTAAAAAAAATGTTTTATATGCGATTTTAAGGAATAGTTAGTATATAGCTATTATCAATTAGTATTTTAATAGTTATTATAGTATTTTTAGTTATTTCTTAAAACCGCTCCCTTTTTTACGGGCTTAGAATTTCTTGGCATCGCCGTCGAAGCTTTTACGATATTCGAATTCATTTAATTTTGATATAGAAAGAGAAGTTTCTTAATTAATTTTCAATTCAATATGTTTTTTTTTATGAAATGGAATCACTTACCAGACTGACAGAGTAGACACACCAACGCCGCAAGCCACATCACTGTATTGTCTTTTTCACATCATTAGTGAGAGCACGGCCTTTTAGCGCCACATTCACTAGAGAGTTAGACTTCGGTAAACCTTTTTCAGTCTCGCTTCATTTAACGAATGAATTTAATGATTCTAATGGGCGTTCCTGTCGAAGAAAAAGTTTGTATTAGTTTTCGAATGAAAATAAGTTTGTTCTAATTGAATATGCAATTTCGAAAAGGGCACATGTCGCATGTTTTGTCAAATAGGTTTTTTCATATATATGTAGATTTCAGGCTTACCTACACCCATTTTATAATAATTCCAGTAATTTTCAATTGCTAATTAACACTAAAATATATCCTCAAAAGATAATATTTTAAATTTTACCCTGCTTAGAAAATCATCAGTTTTTTTTCATCTCCTGAACATTTTACATTTTCAGAGATGTACCCTTTTCGAAATTGCATAATAATATTCAATTTCATATAGTAGCGTATGCATAAAATTTAGCAGTTTATCCGCAGATACGGTACAAACATCTCCAAGAATTATTATCGACTAGCGACCCGCCCTCGCTTCGCTTCGGAAACTGTAATTTATTATTGACTTCTCCACTATTTAATGGATGTTATTATACATATAAACCTTCCTCTTCAATCACTCTATCTATAAAAAAAACCGTATCAAAATCCGTTGCGTAGTTTTAAAGATTTAAGCATACATAGGGATATAGGGATAGAGAAAGCGACTTTGTTTCATACTATATAGTGATTCGACAAAGATTAATCCCTCAAGTCACTGATTTCTACTGGAATCGTGGCGATCACTAACCAGTATCAAAGTATCGAGTATCTAATCCAATAGACCACGGACACTTAATGTTCCGGGTTCAGGTTGAAAATTTATCACCAGACCTGTTCGGCGATACCATTGTCATATTCTCATCAGAAATGTAAACAAGGATACCAAACTAGGATATTGCATTTCGGCTCTTTTAAAAACTTAGACAGGTGATGTCTTTGCCTAAGCTTGTAGAAACAAAAAAAAACAACAATTAAAATGAAACACTGAAACATTTTCAGTAAACGAAATTTGCGAATCAAAGCAATGCCTTAATGAATTTCTTATTAGCATTGTAACTTCTAAAGCTGTCTTGTAAAATATACACGACGGAATAGCGTAAATTCTCTGAAAATATCTTGAGGTGTAACGCAGTTTGTGTCTACATTAATTTTACTGCGAATATTCTCAAGCCCCACAAAATGGTTTGCCAGCACTTTGAAAATCTTTGTGTATTTTTATAAATTAATTTACAATAGTTATAGCTTTTAATTATTCGGCTGGTATTTTAATGACTACAATAGATTTTATTTTTAGTTTTCGCTAGTCATAATTAAGACTATTTTTGACTACTATCACTACTGACTACAACAGTCGTCAATGACTACTAAAACTGTTAAATATTCGAAATGTCGGAGATAATAATATAAGGACAATAAAAACCATAATGTCGTTAATAATGCTTAAAATGTTTAAATTACCTTAATATTATAATTAGGCTTGGCGGTGGCCCTTTTTTTTAACGCTGGGGAATCCATTTAGGATTGGCTGTGCCCCTGGCACTACTGACTTCGACGAGATACGGTATCCACTTACCATAAGATGAATCATACGCTCGTCTGTCTACAACGGCAATAAGCAATATACGTTTGTACAAGCTTAACGTGAAACAGGTATAATAAAAGAGATATTTCTCAACTTTAAATTGTCGACTATACATCGCCATGGATGTTTTTGTTCTCGATAACTAGAAGAGAGCGACAAGAAACTATCAAAAATGCTGCGATTATAAGGTTCTGTTTTTGTGTGAAAAGAAACCTTAATGCTAAGATATAATATTTTTTTTATTTTTTTTTATTGCTTAGATGGGTGGACGAGCTCACAGCCCACCTGATGTTAAGTGGTTACTGGAGCCCATAGACATCTACAACGTAGACGCGCCACCCACCTTGAGATACAAGTTCTAAAGTCTCAGTATAGTTACAACGGCTACCACCAGTAATTACGCAAATTATAATTTTGCGGGTTTGATTTTTATTACACGATGTTATTCCTTCACCGTGGAAGTCAATCGTGAACATTTGTTGAGTACATATTTCATTAGAAAAATTGGTACCCGCCTGCGGGATTCGAACACCGGTGCATCGCTTCAACACGAATGCACCGGATGTCTTATCCTTTAGGCCACGACGACTCATAATATTGGTTTATTTATATATTTGGTTTTATGTAGTAAGTTCGGCGGTAGCTAACAATTTATTTGAATGTCGAAAAATAAAACATAAAAATAACACGACCTAGCTAGGTAACCACTAATTACCTGAAGTCTCGTACACCTAAGCATAGCCCATAGACATCCACAACGTAAATGATGCCCACCTTGATACACGCGATGCGCCACCCACCTTGAGATATAAGTTCTAAGGTACCAGTATAGTTACAACGGCTGCTCCACTCTTCAAACCGAAACGCATTACTGCTTTCACAGCAGAAATAGGCGGGGCGGTGGTACCTACCCGTGCGGATTCACAAGAGGTCCTACCACCAGTAAAAATATATTTTGTCCGCCCATCTTGTGTACCACCCACGTAAAGTATACCAAATATGGGAAATTATTTATAAAATATAAATAACAAATATTAGATTAAGCCGTAAAAGTACAATAGTTTAAATTATTTTTAAAAGTCGCGAAACCCGAAATAAATTCCGAATGGTTTAAATTCCAAGACTTATTATCACGGAATGTGTTAAAAAGGTACCTTTATTTTTTATGTATAAAGCGATAAGTTGTACCAAAATCCGTTTGAATGTAAAAACAAAAAAGTAAAAAAGATGAATACACTCATAACAAAATCATTGAAGTGAAGCTTCATAAAATTCATCATTTGACTTCATAAAACATTTTGTTACGTTGATCTAGGCCACGCAAATTTATTCTTAACTAGCTAGTTTCATGGCACGTTTTTGCATATTTTCAATCCCGTGAACAGCACAATACGAAGTTCGCCTACTTTAAAACTTGAGAGGCAGCGGCATTACTCAACACTTACTCCACTGATGTCCACGGACTCTGATAAGCTCATAGCATTGAACAGAATTGCCTATCAATCTAGAGAGGAAAAAACGCAATGAATAAGCTTGTGTTATGTGTGGTTAAGGAAACCGCACTGCTAATTTTGTCAAACTTACAGTTTATTTCTGTCGCTTGCTCACTAATAAAATCGAATTGAAACTTACATCTCAAGTCTCATAAGGAGAAGATATTCACGTTCTGATATGGGGTCCAATAACCGCTTAAAGTATAGTATATACGATTTGAGCCCATCTGAGCTTTTAAGTGAACAAATCAACCAGGAAAAGCACAACCATATCAACGGTTAAAAAAGCTATTTGATTAAAGCCACATTTTTTAAATTTTTTAGGAGACCAATTTAAAGGTTAAAGTTTGTAAAAAAATCATGAAAGAAAAGCTTTTTCAGCTATTTGTATGGTGTAAACATAATTGAAACTCGATCAAAAACATCGAATTCTTAATTCTAATCTATACTAATATATAAATCTAGAGTGTTTTTTACGGATGTTCCGTTATAACTACTGAACCATGCATCCGATTGACCTGAAACTTGGTATCCATGTAGAAAATACATGTACTTAATGGATAGGTTAATATTTATATGAGTGTTGGACTCCCTAATAGTAATGACAATAAATAATGAATGTTAATTTTAAATGCCCAGCGAAGCGGGCGAGTACGGAGTAGTATCAAATAAAACGGACCTTCACAAAGATAAATGTCGCGTACTAAGCGAAATGTCGCTTAAACCAAATAATCTTTCATCCCTCAATATATTTTACGTTATTCATAATTACTAGTAACAAATAATATTATCTCGAACCGGAAACCGCGACAGTTTGAGAATACCTATACGTACCAACGCAATAATTAATTATTGTCTCAAATAACATCAATCATGCTACCTAAACCCAATTACCCGCACACTAATTAATGTTTTAGAATTTAGACATCAAAGTTTAAATCAGAGAGAATTGTTTGTCCAATCAAGCTCGTATATGAAACATGTAAATAAACCAATAATATATCATCATTCTCCTGCCCTCCTCCCAGTCATATGGGGTCGGCGTAGCATGTTTTCTCCTTCCATATTCCTCTATCATATACCATTTCTTCGCTCACTCCCCTCTTACACATATCGTCTTTCACGCAAATAAATATACCAATAATACATATACGGTCAAAACCGTTTACTGCGACATCGTTTAGAACAACATGCCGGTTATATTAACCTAGAACAAAGTCCCGGCTGAATGCTATATGACCGCCTTATTAAAAACATTGCTCAATACAACATTGCTAATAACGACATACCTCATAAAACGACCACATTTAACTAATATTTCGGAGAATTAGATCTGTTAGAACGACCGGTTAAGCTGTATTGTAAAAAATTTGAATAGGTATCCACATTTGTCGTCAATGGGTATTAAAATCAGGAAAGAAAACAATAGGATTTAGTTAAGTGTAGGGTATTTTCTAATTCAAAGCCCGCTTCTTCATATCTCTTCAATTAGTTTGTTACTTATCTATACACAAAACGCATCAAAACTTTGTGGAGTTATTCGTGAAACTTTCAAAATGTCGCAAAGAAAAAGAAAACAAATTAATATTGAAGAAAACTCGCGTATTATATCCAAGCTAGAGAGCGGAATTTCAAACAAAGACTTAGCAAAGGAATATGGTGTATCACATTCGACAATTTCAACCATTTGGAAAGAGCGATGACGATACGTTAATTAAAATCCAACGTGAATTACAAAATATCTATGCACAACAAAAGTATTCCAAACAGACCAAAATTACAGATTTTATTCTCACAGAAAAATAATTTGTATTGTACTTATGTGTAATAAACAAAATGTACATAGTTGAATAAATATATTTTTCCAATAATTCTCTATCGATTGTTTTTTTTTTTTTTTTTATTGCTTAGATTTGTGGACGAACTCACAGCCCACCTGGTGTTAAGTGGTTACTGGAGCCCATAGACATCTACAACGTAAATGCGCCACCCACCTTGAGATACA